AAACATTATTCACGACGACTATATAATGTTATCGTTATATAATGTAAAATAAATGCATAAATAATAATAGTTTTATAATTTCAGAACGTTTTTTTTGCCGCATACCGTATTCTCCCTACTTTCGTATACTCTTCTGTCATGGAGATTTTCGCTTAATTTAAGAGTTGATAAATTATATAATGATCACTCACTAACCGCAGTGGGGGCATAAAGTTAACACTTTCACATCTTCCGCGTGCCAGAAAGACCCTTGGTAAATACATCAGCAATCATTTCTGCCGTGGAAATGTGTTTCACCTCAATGACTTCGTTCTTCAGAGCATCTCGAACAAAATGGGATCTTATATCGATATCCTTACTCCGTGTATGAAAAGACGGATTTTCAACCATGTTATCTTCATAGATAACTATCCCTAATTTCATTTGGCGTCCTTAGTGCCGTCCGCGTCCGTCAGAGCCATATTACGGCACAACTTATGTCGGGTCTGGTGCAAGTTGACAAGTAAGTTAAAGCACCAACAAGTTCTCAATAAGGAATACTTGTATCAGGGGTTGTCCGCTTTCTTCAATTTCCACGAAGTATTCGTCGAAATAGAAACAGGTTTTGTCATCCGGAAACAGTTCCAGTCCCGTTTCCATCTCTATTTCTGATAAATTCAATGCCTAAACAATATCGAAACCCCCGCCCCCGAAATCCAAAATAGTGTAATACTTTATTTGGCACCACAAATGGGTGCATACTCAAAATGGTAGATGACAAGTACAAGCTCATCCCTAAAGGTAAGTAACCAATTCCATTGACCTCGGAAGTACGAAATAGTACTGTTGTCTATTGATGTCCGAGACATCAACATCCCCTGTACATAAAAAATATCGACGTTTTTAATAGGTTGCAAATTTTTTGGCTACTAGTAAATTCCTTTCAAATTACATTAAACTAAATCTCGTTATAAAAATAATGAATAGGAGGGAATTAATTCAACGGATCTATTCAACTCTCTTATCCTTCTTGGAACATCACCAATTCGGTCTTAGTTATTCATTTATAGCACAATCCCGGTTTCATTAAAATCTGCTGTTAAAATTTTATGAAGCAAAGCTACCGAGACAGCGAAAAAAGTACATGCATAGCTTTTAGAGACCTGAGTGGTACGGTCCAACAGACAGACACGAGCTTTTTTTAAAATTTTATCCTAAAAATAGCCTATCTAGCTATACATAGGAACTATTTTTATTAGTATAGCCGTTAGGGTTGAAGGCATCAGTTTTTCCCATTTTTTTTGTGACCGGCCTTAAACAATAATATATGGAAAATTGTGGACTGTTTCAAAAATTGAACCTACTTCCAGTGAAAGAGCGACATAGCACAGCAACTGTCTCATTTAGCTTTCAGATGAATCCTTTCCACTTAAATCATGACATTTACATCCATTGAACTTTAAATTCGTGTGAGGTGAGCGTCAGAGTATAGGGTCGTAGGCGTCCGTCCTAAAAGAATCGTTAAAAGGAAAGACATGGTGAATAATTCAGATCAATAAAAGAAAGCCCTTTAAGTGCGCCCATTAAAAGCTATTTCGGGTAAGATCTCATATACATACGGTTTGTCTTTCGATTAAAGGAAAACAAAATCCTTTCCATTTCGAAATGCTAATTTAAACAAACGACGATTATTGATCTTGCGACAGCCGGAAAACTTTACGTCTAATCTATTCATATTATGAATCTACTCTGAACTTTTATGGTATGTCTGAAACAGCGGAATTGTTAATGCCCCCTTTTTACTAGGACTTCCTTTTATTCAGTTGCGAGCTTAAAGCAGCGACTGTGCGAAGTATATTGTCGACGGTTGCGTTCGTAAATTTTTGTGGATCCATTGGAAGTGGTAATATCAAATGAGGTTTAAGGCGTCTAATCTGAGTGTCCACGCTACGAGCTTACGATGCTATTTAAAAAAAAACTGTTCGGGTGGGTGCACGGAAGTGATTACTTAGCAGTTCCATTGGAACTACTAAGCTTTGTCCTGTTTCACACTAAACACTATTAAAAAGTGTTTTCTCAGGTAATTAGAATCTAAAGGGGTTGCAAAATCTTCATTAGGTACATATAACGTATTTAAGATTAGAAAACGTGCGTGGTCTGAACTCAAAAATGGTTTTTGTGCATCAAAAACGTGTAACCTCCAACTACGATATTATTTGTCTCAGTGAAACGTGGTTAAGCCCCGATAATGCTGAAAATTCCCCAAGGATTATACCGTAAAATGTGGTAGGGTAAGTCGACAGTGTACATGGTGAACTTATACATACCATCCAACTTATCAAAAAGTGAATTTCGAGACTTCTTCGAAGCATTATCATTTCTAAACGTAATATGTAACGGAAAGATTATCATCCTTGGAGATTCTGATCTTCCAAATATCTCCAATGTCGTATTGGATAACTATTTTATTCATTTCCTGGAGCATTTTAATTGTGTACAATTAAATAACATCGTTAATGTAAATAATAGGACACTGGATTTAGTTATTAGTAATTTTAATTTTGAGGCGTTTAAAGGCGATTGCATTCTTGGCCGCTAAGGTAGGACGCTATTGACTTTCAGGAAACTGGCTCAACAGGAACAAAACTTAGAGTGACTGGGGAACATGAAAACCTGAGGACTAAGAGCAGTATCTCAATGCTCAAGACACGAATCTGATGCATTTTTGTTAAGAATATGATCAAAACATGTCAAAATGGTTTTCAATGCACCAAGATCGTTGGGAAAAAGACCAAGGTCTATCTCAATGAATTTGATCCTTCCCCCGAAATTTTACAAAATTAAGTTCAAGGTTTTTAAAGCTTTTTGATCCCAGCATTTCGCTTCTTTAAAAAGAAAAAATTTTACGTTTACATTAAACTATTACTATAGTGTTTTCTACTATTTGTAAAAAACATTATTTACATAAAACAACATGTGATATGCTTTAATCAATATGCACAAAAATATTCGATTAAAAAATTATATTACATGTAGTTACATAAACTACTTGACATCTTTGCTATGAAACATGGAGAAAAGATTTAAAAATATACATTGCATTACTATAAGGAGGCAAGGGAGGGGTCGGAAATGAAGGTAATGTTAATGTGTAACTAGCCAGCTACGGTTCACAGTAATAGACATAATTACACACTACTTACGAACAGAGTGGTTCAAATTCGTGTAGGCTTTGCACATGACCAGGATTTTCCGGGCTTGTTCCGGAATTATCTGCACTGTCTCGGATCCCAGTTTTACATATATAAATCCCGGAAAAAAATAACGTAACGTCTTGAATAAAAATTCAAAAGAAACCACAACCACGTGAAGCAATTCAACCAATGGCGTCGCGCGCCACAGTTATTTTGTTGTTTTTTGTTCCAGAAAAACATGATTTGGTTAAATTTGATTGATATTTATTATAAAATTGTTTTCTGATTAAAATATTTTTAGCGAATTTTTTAAGAATTAAAAAAAATTTGCTATTGTTTGGGTTTTGTTCGTTCGTCTGTCCGTCTATCCGTCTGTCCGTCTGTCCGTCTGTCTGAACCCACCTCTGCGTTTTGAACTACTTTTAGGGGAATGGTCCTAGAATCTTGGAATTTTTGGCAATATGTAAATGTAACCTATACCTTGAAGGTGTGCCAGAGGACCATCAAATTTTGCTGTCTCAAGCCCCCCCCCCTGAATTATTCCCGAGATGCTGTTTTTGAATGTAACACGTGCATAGCTTTTACATGCGACAATTAAATGATCTTTGATACGCATGCCTTTAGTGGTACCAAGCAACATTTTTGAAAATGGGGAGAGGGCGGGGGGGGGGTAAACGTTCTACCTTACACGGTATTCTAATGAGGGGCTCATCAAAATGAATTGGTTTGTACAAACTATAATTTTATTCCAATTAAAGGTCTCAATCAAAGAAACTGTTTTCTACCAACTACCGTCCTACTTCTGACTTGTTATCAAAAGAACGGATGGGGGAGGGGGCTAATTTTATAGTATTCTAATAAAAGGTTTTGGATCCGCGCTAATAAAGATTTTTGAAATCGGTGTTCTCTCCTCTCTCTCCTTCGTTTTAAATCTAATAATTAATTAATTTTCAGTTTTAGTTAATCTTAATTGCACTTCATCTCTTACATATAATTTTTATAAATACTGTTTAAGTATATTGGTGTTATTGCTGTATGTACAATAAAGATTATTATTATTATTAAGCTTATATCAGTAGGTACGTGAGTATTACATTATACTACTAAGCAATCAATTGAAACTTTATCTCGAAACTTTGAACAATTATCACAATTGTCCATAATTTTCGTATTAGTTTAGCGATTTAACTATGTGAAGACATTCTAAATACACAATGCACAAGATATCAAGTCACTGACGTATGACTTGGCCATTTAGCTGCATGCATTATAAAGGGTTAACGTGAAGGGGTAGAATTTCGATTGTAAAATACAAGCGCACCTATATCAAAATGAAGCAGGGTATTGACATCGCAAAGTCAATCGTATAAATAAATGACAACCGAACGGCGTTCCTGCAACAAATTGATATTCCTTCAATAAGGCCAATCGCATGCTGAATAGCTTATTTAGAACCTGAAATCCCTTTTAAGTTTTCTCTAGTACCCTTATGCCAAACGTATCCAAAATAGCAATGGGAAAATATAATTTCGGAAGTCAGTTATACTAATGAGATTTGTTTTCGAAAATTTTGTACGATGAAATGCACTCAGTCCTAACTAAACTTTAAAATACAATTTATTTGAACGTCAACATTACAGACCGGGAAATAAACCCTTAGCCGTGCCGCTTGTTAAGACTGTTTAAGTAAACTGTTTCAAATATTCATGAAAACGGTAAAGTAGATTTAAAGAAAATAAATATAATGGGCTACGTTAATTTTTAGGAAACGCCAATATCACAGTGTCTTTCCCACATTAAATATGCCTCGGTACTTATTCAAGAAACTACTTACCTAATTGAAGATCGCGTTTACAATCTGGAAAAAAAAATACTTTTAACAAGTGGAAGTCGTGTAAAGTGCAAAATGTAATGTTCTTACGTCACAGCCAAGCGCAAGGATTGTAAATAATAAGTAATACCTAGAATTTCAGTTTAAATAGAATATGGAAGCTTTTGCAGCTACAGACGTTTGTATATTAGTGCTGGGAGCGGTCACGATAGCATGAATTAATAAAGCACTTCAACAATACATAAGAGGAGCTATTTTAGTTATACACGCAACCGACAACCCTGTCGGGGATCCCTGCAGAGAAAAATAAATAAGCAATTAAATTACATTACAAGCGTGCAATTGCCGAAAGATAAAACGTTTCCGCAAGGATCTCATGAATCAAAAATTTTCTTTTGCTTTAATTTTGAAAACTCAAAGAACAGTACTAAAAAATATTCATTGTTTGTAAAAATGGAGATTAGATCTTAGGGCTTATTACTGCACTACTCTCTGCTTTTCAAATATAAAACTGATCTGGGCCTTTTATTGTATCGGCTTTTTTCAAATTGAAGGGCGCGCGGGGCGTTAACTCGGTAAAGCAGGCAAGCAGTAAATTGAAATAGACACACGACAACAGCCATTTATAAAATGTTTAATACCCATTTCCCTTTCAATACTTATTGCAAGTATTATGCCACCACAAATGAAAAATAATTGATTTTAATAACAAAAATTGAATATATTATCAAAGGGTTATCGTCCAAGGGATGTCAAAAATGTTATTTATGCATCGATTTTGAGTATCATACCCTTATTAATATGTGCTTATCCGAACCAAGAATTGCGCTGGAAACGCCTATGCAGTAGTGATTTTGGTCCATTCATACCTGATCGAGCTGACGTATAAATTTTTATTGACCTCTAACAGAATTCAAAATATCTTAAACAATTATTAATGATGGTCAATTTTTTGATTTTCAATTGATTTTTCAATTGAGAATTGCTTTGCTTTGGATTTCTTCTATTGTTGTGTGCATCTTTTTCTTAACACAGGACGTATTTTCCCTCTGCTATTTTGATGCAATTTCCGTCAAGCATGAGAAACCCCCAAATTGCGAAATTCGCGTCGCTTTTGCATCCTTTTCAGGTGCCCTTTTTTTAAGAAGAGATTCTGCATTTGTTTCCGTTAGAACAGGAACTGTCTCGACAACGGAAATACCATATTGAAAACGCCGATTTTCGTCCTATCACCGAAGTTAAACAACAGCGAGAACACCTCTCTTTTTTTTTTAATTTTTGCTCACGTTTGTCTATTGATTTTATTTATGTTTTTATTTTAATGTCACAAGGCATCATATAATTCATAATTAGAATTAATTTAGTTTTGGCGAAAAAATTTTAGTTTTTTAACTTTGACATTTTTTTTCTCATTTTTTTTGTAATGGCATAATTTTTGTAGGTTGTGCGGTTGATTGACAAAAACAAGTTCGATGCCTTTGCGGCGCTCCAAAATTTTTTTTCAAAAATCCGGCCCGTTATTTTTCGTTTCCGTATGCCTAATACACATATCCAAAATTTGAACCGAATCTCTCGAGCAGTTACCTCAGAAAATTGCCAACAGACAAACGGAAAAAATTTTATTCTTTGAAAGTTGCTTAAAATGATGTAAAACGTCGACATTTGATGAAATTTTGACATGTCCAAAAAACGGTGATCGCAATAGCTACCTAGTTCATGTTAGGAAGCTAAAAATTTACAGGGTGTCGAAGTTTAGAGGGCCAATTTTCCAATAAATTGTGGCTAGTGGAATTTAAAGGGTAAATCTGTAACAATTAGGTGGATCTGAAGGTTGTCCTTTCTGAGTCTTTTAATTTCAGCAGTACATTGTTTTCATAAAGGGTTCCGGATGTCTGGAGGCGAGATGTCTCTGTAACTAGAGCTAAATTGAGTATCTTAATTGGTCTTACCTACTCCAACTCACTGAATAAGCTTGAGGATATTCGGTAGTTGTTTTTTTCTTAAAATCCTTTGCGGAAACTGCACTCGCCGAGGCACTCGCCTTCCCGACCTGGTTGTTACTGGGGATGACGTAGAATGTCGATTGGTAGATGTCGTGGGAGTCCTTGTGATCATTGAGTAATGCAAATGCGGTTTTGAGTGCTTAATATGACGAATACCTATCGCACGCTCATAAATGATCTAATATACAGAAACGCACCTGATATTCGGAATTATCGACTATTAAAATTAGACAATTCGCATTTGTGCATAAATTATCCTCTCTATACAGGGTACCCAAATTTGGTCGATGGTGTAACTATAACTGAATGACATCACAGTCTCGATATGTTTTTTGAGATAAACCAAACTAGCCTACAGTCCTTTGTTTTTGATTGATGGGTAAAAGTTGCCTTTTTCGATTTTTAGATACAAGCATATCATTTCTTTATCGGAAATGTGTATTGCAAATGATTGTTGCATAATCTACAATTTCAAAAATAAGTATACGGAATCAAGTAAAAAAGTTATAGGATTTGACCTCATTTTTTGTAATGGAACACCCTGTATAGTTTAATCTATACAGATAGCATATTAAATTCTCTTTTCAAAACTATACCAGGGCTGGTATTAAAGAACGATTCAACAACACCAATTTCACAAAATTTTTTAATTTCTTTTTAATCTTTTAAATCGGATCCATTTAAAAAATGAGGTTGAGTCCGAATCAATACAAAGAGACTTTTGTAATAAACACATTTCCGATAACTTAATAAAAAAGAAATTGTAGGCTTCTAATTAAAAATCTAAAACTGCCCATAACTCAAAAACAAAAAGACTGTAGGCCAGTTTCATTTTCAACATCGAGTTTATCTGTCTAACAAATTCCCTGGAAAATATGTTGGATGGGTATTCTCGCACGATTAAGGCGTTGTGGGCGGGGCACCATCCTGTTGAAACCAAGAGTTTCCAACTTTTGTTTTTTCTTTGTGTGCCGTACATTTTTGTATTTACAATAAAAAAAAATTCTACTCAATACGGTATGTACTTTTTTTACGAGCCATATAAAAAATAAAATTAATGATCCAAAAGAAAGCGTTTTATTAAAAATCTCACAACGCTATCTTGAGCTGAAATAGTGGAAATGAGAAAGTGTTTTTTTTTCTTTGTATCTGGGCCAAATAATATCAGAAAAAATAAAAACGAAATTTGGGTTTTTCTCGCATATCTTCGAAAGTGATCAGAATTTTCTGGTTTTCTTTAAAGCATGATAATAATAGACGTACTTATCTTGCATGTACAATAGGTAACAAATGACCTCCCACTTTTATGACAGATATCTGCGTTTTGAATCCCTAGGAGCCCAGATCTCAATGATCGTCAGTCCGTGTGTCTGTGCCAACCACTGAACCGAAAGTAACTAGTTTGCAAATGCGTTCTTAGGCGAAGGTCAACAGCTGAAAAGGTTTTAAAAATGATCTTTTTTTATTTATTAAGTCAATTATATAAACCTTATGTGAACTGTATTTTCCAAGAAAAACGAATTTCTACAGCGGATGGTATTTCACGCAAAACATTATTTCGCTCGCCCGTTCTGTGGATTTATTGACTCGCTCTTAGTAATCAATCTGGCTACGACCCTGGTCTATCGATATCTTTGCGAACCCCGTGATAGCTTCTGGTGTCCAGATAACTAGTATTTTGCCTTTCACATTACGCACAAAAGTTTTGTATTAACGCAGTTTTGGGTAAGAAACTTCTAAAAAAATTCAGCCTACCCAAGAACTGGCGTAGTTCCTTGACGGAAAAAACAAGAGAATTCCGCGTAAAAATTTGGATATGTTAAGGAGGAACAAGGAACGTATGCAGGATTGGCTGTTGCTACGCGTCTGTTAGTTGGATGAAGATTTTTGAATTTTGCAATTGGAAGAGGGATTTTAAATACTGAAGTTGGTATAAGAAGGGGGCTTTTTGTCAATTTTGAGACCGGGGTGCTGTTCGTTGAAAGGTTAGAAGACGCGCTTCCTAATTGTTCAACAAGTAAAGTTCATAACGCTTTAATCAGGAAGTCAGCAGAGTTCGAGTGAAGGATTTGACGTGAAATGTTTCATTGAAGATATTCGTCGGTTGTTTCGAACATCCAACGTTTCATCGGTCGTGCGTTAGCTAGCCAGTCCAATTCAATGCAAAAAAAATTACGTTCGTCCCGAGGAGTAGGTAGATAAGCTAGTAGATAAGTTTAGATGAGTATCTAAATTACGCTATATCTATATAAATGTATAATGCCTTGATTTTCCATTTATATGACGATTGTAAGCTGTTTCTGCACATGAATTAAATATTATTATTATTATTATAGACAAAAAAGTGTGATGGACCACGATTGTGAGTGCGTTAGTTCTCTGTCGCAATTAGTGGTTTTAACCTGAATTTATTGGATTTTACAGAAAACTGTAAGTAAAATAAGATTGCACTAATTTGTTTAATTGATATCGAACGCTTATTTGGGGTGTGTAAAATGACTGTTATAGTTCATTTTGTTAACTAAAATGTTGTGTTTTTAGAATAAATGATGTCTGTCTAACTCATGTAAATCGTATGTCTATTCGAACCCTTTAGCGATCCAGATAAATGTCTCATGCTTATAATTATGATTAATTTTATTGATCCGTACCCAAAGTTTATTTCAGGTGTCTTCAAAATTTGTCTTAGTAATTCTTTTGGAATTTAAGGAATTTCATCGCGCCGTAGAATTTGGAATTTGAAGTCGAGATTGTCATTTTTCATTGTGCCGTGATTAAGGCGTGTCCTGGTGCTCAGTGCTTGTTTACACGTAACTTTTGCTTTGAGCCGGCCTTGTGTTGTAAGGGTTTCATTCCCTTATCGTTAAACTACACTTGAAATCATAAAAATCATAGCTCACAGCCACAGAACGAGCATCTAATTTATAACTGAAACCTGACACATTTCACGAAAACGATAGTTAAAAAAAGCTAGTCGATTTAGAATCGCTTTCAGCCGACCCTTGTAAAATATCTATTGAAAGC